GCTTTGCCAGGAACCTGTGCAGGAGGGGAGTCCTGTGTCTGCCCTGCCAGAGGGAGGGCAAGGATCCTAGGGGCCAGGGGTGCTGCCCAGAGCTGTGCTCCAGCAAAGGGGGGTAGAGCTGTGCTCCGGGGACTGGCCCTGGCCATAGGGCGAGAGGTGCAGTGCTCGCCTGGGCACAGGGGTAACAAGCCAAACACAGGCCTGGCCCGAGCCCCCTGCATGGCAGCACTGTCACCTGTCCTGCCTTGCCCCTGCCCTCCTCCCCCACAGTCGTAATCTCTGCTGGTTGGTGGGGCTGGTACAGCCTGGCTGGGCAGAGTAATGTGGAGCCAGCCAGGGACACGCCAGTAAATAACTGGGCAGGCAGGAGCCAGCAAGTGTCTCTGCCCTGCCCCGCCCCAGGGCTGCACTCGGCCGGCTGGTGGGGGGCTGCTGTGATGCCATCCCCAGCATGCAGCGGGCTGGAGCCCCAGCCCCCTGGGACAAGCCTGCTCGGGGCGCCCCCCAGTCCCTGCACAGATGAGCTGTGTCCACCTGGGCCCCTCGTCATGCCCCGGAGGTCGTCCTGGGGACCCTGGGAGGCTCCCATGGCAGCAGGGGAATGAGGGAGCCTGGTCCCGGGGCTGGGCCGGGTCATGGGAGATGCAGAAAACTCCCAGCAAGGGCTGCAGCTGTCCCCATCTGTGTCTGGCTGGGGCTGGCCGCTAGGATGACCAAACAGGAAGTGTGAAAAATCGGGATGGGGGTGAGGGGTAATAGGCTTCTATATAAGAAAAAGCCTCTAATATTGGGACTGTCCCTATAAAATCGGGACGTCTGGTCACCCTACTGGCCCCGGCTGCGTGGGGGTCAGCGCTGGGAGGAGCTGGAGCTGGCCAGACATGCGTGATTCGGGGGCAATTTGTGCTGCGTTTGCTTCCAGTCCGGTTCCAGTGATGGGAGCTGGTGTCTCCCCGGCTGGAGAATCGCCACCCAGCCAGCTGAGAGCAGGGGCTGCCCTGGGCAGTGAGCCAGGGAGGTACCGTCTGAGCGTCCCGCTGCTGCTCCGGGCTGAGGGGAAGCAGTTCTCAGGCCGAGCCAGCCACTCTGCAGGGCCTGGCGCAGGAATTCCACAAGGCAGTTCCATTAACCTGTGCGGTGGCACAGCCGGACGGCCGGCCCATTCCCGGCTCGGTCTGCCCTTAGCGCCAGGGGGCTGGACGGACCTGCAGGCAATATGGACAGGGAGAGATGGGTGGGATTCCTGGGAGGGCGTCATGCGGAGATTGGCTCTGAGGCTGCGGGACCTGCAGCCCTGGGGCTGAGATGACACCGCTTCCTCCGGTATCAGCCCTTCCCACCCAGCTTTGGCGGGTCGGTTCCCCACTGGCAGGGCCAGACCTCTGCCCAGGCAGGGAGCAGGAGTCCCGAAGCTGGCTCATTGCCCAGGGCCTGGTGCAGAATTTGATTTCCCAGGGGCTGGGCCAGGGAGAGCTCTGGAGTGAGCAGTGCTGGGGGGCAGGGGGGGGATCTAGCTGTCAAGCAGGCTGTGGGGTTTATTGCAAGCTGACCCTGATGAACAGTGGGACTGGTATTTGCTTTGCAGCCTGTCAGCCGCAGCCCATGTCCCGTTAGCCCTGCCGGGAGCCACGGTGGCCATCGCTGTGCCGGAGAATCAGAACTCCCAGCTGGCCACGGTGGGGCAGGGTGGGTCATGGCTGCAGTACAGTGTCACGGACCCACAGGGCCTGCACCCCTGGCTTTGGAACGATCTCCGGGCTTCACTGTGCCAGACCCACAGGGGGTCTTGCTCTTCCCCCAGCGTGAGCCACGCGGCCTCACTGGCCCTCTGGGCCTGCAGCCCCCCCGCTCCACCCATGGGCTCCGGGCAGCGACTCCCACGGGCACAGCCCCGGAGAGAGACTTGTACAATCTGGAGGAGCAACGTGCCTGTGCCAGCGTCCGCAGGGGTACGCAGCCAGCGCGGGCACAGCCGGGGTCAGTCCTTAGCGGGCGCCCGGCCTAGGGGCCTTAGGGCAGCCCGGGGCAATGAAAGGTGAAGCAGGGGCCGTCCTGGCCAGCCCCGAGCCCAGCTCGGCTGTGGGGAGCCCTTGGGTCCGGCTCTGTTACCCGCACACTCTAGGGCCCCCATATTTACCCTTCTGTGGGGTCAAGGCACGACCCAGTTCATTTAGGCAGCCCCACCCTTTCCCAGCTCCTAGGGCTCAGGGCGTAATTTTCTGAGAGGCTGCAGGGCCTTTTCCCAGTGAAAGAGCCTCACACGGTAATATCCTGATCCTGTATTAACCATCCCCAAAACAGAAGGCACACGCTGAGCCTACAGTGCTCACCGCTCCCAATAAGGCGGATGAGCTTTTCTCGCTGGCCGGTCAGGATCAGGTCATCTGGGGACTCCAGTTTCTGCATGGTATGGTTGGCAGGGTGTTTTGGTCTGGCAGCTCTGATGCTGGGGCTGGGGCCTGGAGCTGGTTCCCAAGAACTTCCCTTTGGACTCCAGTTTATATAGTGACACTTGAGTCCTGCTTAGCTGCACCTTAACCAATCATTTCACTAAATGATTACTAACCAATTCTCTAACCAATCCTAACATATCGTCAAACAATCCTTTAACCAATCCTACCCCACCACTTTCATTGATTTACACCTAGCAAAATCAGTTCTGTAACCGAAACAATCAGAACCAGACAGATAAACCGTAGAGCAGTGCGGACCATAAAGTCACAACAATACAAGTCAAGATTTCACACCCACAACTGCTGCTAAGTGATTTCTTGCCAGACAGATTCAATCGAACAAGGTTTTCTTTAGCCACTGAAGCGGTTTCTCTCTCTGGTGGTGGTGGGTGCTGTTAGGACGGGATCGCTTTCCACAGCCCGCTGTGACATTGGTTTAATGCACATTAGATGGGATGTGAATGATTCTTAGCTCATGGTGCTGCTGTCCTAATGTGGCTGCAGAAAAAGGCCTCAGACCTTACAGCTCTGTCTGTCCGTCCATCTGCTCTTTTGTCAGGCTCCCAGGTGAGCCCCGACTGCTTCCCACAGCCCCCACTTAACCCCCACCTCACCCCCTCGCCCTTTGTTCCCAAGCTGGGGAGATGCAGCTCAGTCCCCCAGCAGAGCAGGGGGTAGGTGGGTCCAGATCAATGGTTGCTGGTTGTGAAAGTCCCATTGTCTTCTCAAGAGCTCCATCGATGAGGGACCTAAGGTCCCAGACAGGTAGGCGCCATTCACACCTGTGTTTCAGCCTGCCTGAGAGCAGACAGACCCCAGGTAACAAGGCAGCATGTAGGGGAAACTGAGGCACACACAGGCTTCATGAAAATATTACAAAGAATTCCCACATCCAGCCCTCCACCCCACCCCAGGGGGGCAGATCTCAGTGCTGGGGGAGGAAGCCCTCTGTAACCAGCCCCTGACCCACCCCAGGGGGGCAGATCTCAGCGCTGGGGGAGCCTCTGTCGGCAGCCTGGCCTGAACGGCGCGGGCTGT